TGTTTATAATCACATATAGAATTGTTTATAATCACATATAGAATTGTTTATAATCACATATAGAATTGTTTATAATCACATATAGAATTGTTTATAATCGTATAGAATTGTCTAAAATTATCTAAAACTAAAGAATTAATCATTTCATCCTTAATGTTAATGTAGTGATCAGCGTATAACTCAAGATGTAGATAAATTTGCTGAATCTCTAAGATTTATTTGTGAAGAAATCATCATCTCTCCCATTCTCATCGCTTATTACACATATCTGACATGGGTATTTAGCGGTTATTTGGGTCCATTAATGATTTACATGTATTTTATTTTTGGCATTATTGGAAGTCGCTTTCTTATTGTGCCATTGGTAAATTTGGTGTTTATGAAAGAATTTCATGAAGGAAATTTCAGGTAATTTCTTATACATACTATTTATATTGTATTACTATTTATATTTTAATTTTGTAACTTACCAATAATTTATTCTTTTTTTAAAGATTGCTTCACGTAAGGATACGGCATTTTGCCGAATCCATTGCATTCGGTTTGGGTGAACGTGCCGAATATGCTCGTTTAAATAATTTCTTTTCAAAAATTCTGAATTACACTAGCAAAATAATTGAACGCGAACTTTGTTTACAAGGTAATTTACAAATTCATAAATTTTTAAATTTTATCATTTAATTCTTTATTTAAAATTAATTTATTAATTTGTTAATTTATTAAATTTATTAATCTATTTATTTATTTATTCATTTTTTCTTAGCTTTCACCGAGTCCATCGCTTATTTTGGTTCTATTCTTAGTTATCTCGTTATTGCAATTCTTATTTTCAACGGCACATACGATCACGTTGAAAAAGATAAACTGAGTGGAATAATTAGCATGGTAAGCTTTCTTTTTTTTATTCCCATTAAACATTGTGATAAGTCATTGCATTATGAATTTACTAATTTCGTGACATTCTCATTTTCTAAAGAATTCTTTTATCGTATTATACCTTATATACAGATTTACCAAAATTGTTGATCAATCTGTTGAAATATCAGATTTAGCTGGTTATACTGCACGTATAGGCCAACTTTTAGAAGCGCTTCAAGAAGTTGACAGCGAGCTTGAAAATGTTGATATTGATAGTCCATTTAGTAGTCAATTAAGGTTTGTCTCGTACTCATCAATAATATAAAATATAATTAATTTATTAAATATAATTAATTTTTATTTAATTATTTTGTATTAAATAGCGGTGAACTAATAATAACATTCGACCAAGTTTCTATTTCATCTCCATCTGGCCACCAATTACTATCCGATTTCAAATTCTTTATAGAACAAGAAAAAAATTTAATGATAATAGGTCCTAATGGTAGTGGTAAAACTTCACTACTACGCGTAATGTGTGGCCTTTGGCCAACCACAAAAGGACGCATTATAATACCGCGTACAAGTAATCAACAAAAATTATTTATATATTTACCACAAACTCCATATTTGACCTTTGGCTCCTTACGTGATCAGATAACTTACCCTCTGAGAAACGATGAAAAAACTAAACATGGTGTGTATTTTAATTTTTATTTTATTTAATATTTTTATTTAATAATATTTTTATTTTATTTAAATATTTTTATTTAATAATATTTTAATATTTTTATTCTTCATTAATTAGCAACTGATGAAGAAGTACGTACTGTACTAGCGATGGTAAATCTTACACATCTAGAACAGTTATTACTTAGCTTCGATGCACAATATGGAATAGATTGGGATAAGATGCTAAGTCCGGGTGAACAACAAAAATTAGCGTTTGCTAGATTGTTTTTCTGGAGACCTGCATTTGCTGGTAATTATTATGTCATAATGTTAAATTATATATTTTTAAATTATATATTGACTGATTTTTTTGTCATTATTTACATTGACTTAATTTTTTCAACAGCGTTGGACGAATCATCAAGCTCATTAGATTCATATATAGAATCGCAAATTTTTGAAACATGTAAAGATCTGGGGATCACTACCATAACGGTATCACATAATAAGAATTTATTAAAATATCACGATAAAGTGTTATTATTGGATGGAAAAGGCGGTTATTCTACTAGTGATATAGATATCAATGGATGTGAAGATGTGTGGAGGTGGATTGATGAAAATTTGAGACTTTAAATTCTTTGTTAACATATAAGGATAAACATATAAGGATAAATTTTTTATATCACGGGGTAGGATTCATTCATTCATAGAATGATCTACTCATTGTACTCATTGCTACTTTTTTGTACAGTTTTTTTTTTTTTTTTTTTTTTTTGTAATTGGGGAAAAAATTAAAGTACCCTTCATTTTTCAGCATTTGCATTTTGAATTGATCGAACGATTCTATTTGAAGAACAATTTTACATTATATTTCATTTTTGTAGAGTACTTTTTATTTACTTTGTTTTTTGCATTTTGTGATTATTTCGAAAATTTCCAACGAAATAAAATAGTTTTTTTTTATCAGCTATTGTACAGTATCATAAGACTTCATGAGGAACTACAGTTTACTACGTACGGTCTTATAAGTGTATGTGTATGCAACTTACGTACATTGTACGTATGTACGTACTGTACGTTGAAACAAATGAACTTACCGTTATTGTTTATGCTAACTAATCTAATCTCTCATCATAACGTACGTAAGTATACAGTATTCGATTATAGTAATTAGGTGGGGGTGCATAAAAAAATATACTCGTACGTACGTACGTACTTGAAACATTGAAACATTGTCTAACAGATGCATTATGTCAGCCTTGCCAACAAAAAAAATTTTAAACTTTGAAATTATTATAAAATAGAATTTTCTATATATAAAATAGAATTAATTGTTTTAAAATCATGAATAATAGAATAATGTATTTACAATAGTGAAGAACAATGGGTTTTTGATATTATACATGTTCATTATATACTTTACAAAAGCCCAAAACCTTGAGTGATATACCTTGAGTGATATCTTATATATTTACACTTTAGATACACTATAGACTATTGATAGGTACATGCATTATATATATGCACTACGATAGACTACGTATACATATATGCAATATATATTATATAATATATGTATATAAAAGTGATGGTAAATCACACGCTGTAAATCACAAAAATTTCCGTGTTTCTGACGTGCGTAAGTACGTACATAAAAAGTGTACGTGCTTATCTAGTTAAAAAAAAATAGATATGAATTCGGATACTTTACAAACAATTACGCATAATGTCGATGATTCAGATATAACTTACGAAACGATTCATCACAAGTTTATGCGACAGGCTTTAATCATTGTAATAATATTTTTCTTTTAATCTATCAAAAAAGTCAAATATTCAATTTATTTTTTTACAAAAAATAGGCACAAGAAGCATACGATAACAAAGAAGTTCCAGTTGGTTGTGTATTTGTATTGGATGGTGAAACTATCATTGGAAGTGGTAGAAATAGAACTAATGAAGCTTGTAATGTAATTATTACTACAATTCTACTACAACTACTACAATACAATACTACTAAAATACTACAGCATTACCAACAATTACATCAAATATATTAATTATAGTTAATTTTTTTAAAATCGATTAACCGATAGGGAACAAGGCATGCGGAATTAGAAGCTGTAGATTCAATTTTATCAACTAATAAATATACTAGTAATGTATTTCGTCGGTGTACATTATATGTGACTGTTGAACCTTGTGTTATGTGTGCGTATGCCCTAAGACAATTAGGTATGAAAATATTTAACATGAAAAATACCTTTTTTTAAAAAATCTAATCATGCTTATATAAAAAAAAAAAAAGAAATTAAACACGTCTATTACGGATGCGCAAATGAAAGATTTGGTGGTGCTGGTTCGATTTTTGAAATTCATCAAGAGTTTGTTTCTTATATTCAATTTTTATTATATTTTATTTTATATAGATATATAGATTTTATTACTGTTTTCGAATGGTTGAAATTAGATAAAAAAATTTCGCGTATATCTACCTATATACTGTGTATTTCGAATACTGGATTAACGTACGTGTGTAGTATATGATGTGAATTGACAATGATGTATATGCAATTGACAATTGTATAATTGACAATTGTACGATTAGTGGTTTCATATACACTTTGGTCAATGTATATACGTTGCATGAATACCTAGGTAGTCCAGTAGACGAGTATACACGATATATATGTATACGCGAAAAAAATTTTTTTATCTCCGAAAACAGTAATAATATTTTTATATTTATCATTAATTGTGTGATTTAACTCTTTAAAAAAAAAATACAACCGATCGACAGTCCCAATTTGAAACTTCATCCACCATATCCTTGTGAAGGCGGTTATTATCGGGAAGAATCTATAATGTTATTAAGGAAATTTTTCGTTAGAGAAAATGAAAATGGTAAGTTTTTGTTTTGAAATTAATTTATGGTTATTATAATTATTTAATTTTTTTAAAAAAATAACAACGATAATAATAATAGCTCCAGTACCAAAGAAAAAAGTTAATCGAGTTTTAAAAACTGAGATTAAACCGATTAAGCATTAATTACTAGGTATTTAACATGTAATCAATTTAAATAATTAATATGTTTATAAATTTTTTTAAACTTAATGAAACAAGTATATTATATTATTTCTTAGTTTGTATACAAATTAGAAATAAACTTGTCCTTAATTTTTTTAAAAAAATTTACGAAATATTTGTTTTGTTTAAAAATAAAAATTTTTAATATTTAATATCTTTAATTAATTATACATATAATATTAGCTTTACTTTATTAAAGAATATATTGAAAACTTTTTCTAAAACGCATCTGTGGTGTTTTACATCTATAAATACATTATCTAAAAAAACTGGCAAATTAATTTATGTTAAGTGTTCAAGTTAAAATGTTTTATACCTCAAAAACACATCCTAATCTTATACAAACTTAGACAAATAATAAAAACATATAATAGATGCAAAATACTGTTATAAAATGAGTTTATTATTAATTTTATTATTATTATTTTTTTATTTTTTTTTTTAAACTTTGGCAATCTTGCTGGTGATTATATTAGATTATGCATACATTAATACAAAATCCGACTTATCTGGCTATCTTTATATAAGTGCTTAGATATGATTTGCCTGCACTAGACTAACTTTATAATCAGCCCTTTACTACTATTTTAGGCAATGCTAAAAACTGTTTATCAGACCTAGAAGCTTTCTGAACAAAGCTCTTTATATATGCTCTATTTATTTACTACCTAGATTTTTAGCCTTCTATTATTATTATATCTAGCTATACTTATGTTCACTAAGGTTTCTCAAAATCAAATCAAATCTAATATTAGACTTATTTGAATTTGATTTGATTTAAAAATCTAGATTTGAATTTGATTTAATTTAAAAAATCTGTATTTGAATTTGATTTGATTATTTGATTTTTTTTTTTTTTCTTCTTTGGCAACCTTGTCAGTGATCCTTTATTAAGATTATTATATAAAACTAGTTACATAATGTTGAGCTTAATATCTAGGCCCGATATCCCTCGGCTGTCTCTATGAATGCCCAAAAGTGGTCTGCCACACTAGGTAGAGGTTTATATTCTCCGCCTAGAAGGCTTTTACCAAGTTGCTTCAGAAGCCTTGTAGACCTTGAAGAGATCTTAATTTAGTTTCATTGAGTCAAATTTACCTGAATACCTTTCTACTATGCTATTATCTAATTCTAGTCTATCTAATCCTAATTCTATTTGGCTATCTAAAATACCTTTCTTTCGTAAAAATACTATACTATCTATTTCTAAGC